CAATCGAGATGACAGCGTCTGAAAAGCTGGTTCGGGCACAAACGGAAATCATACGAGCTTGGCACAAAAAAAAAAATCCCCTGAAATTACAGGGTGAGGTTTGTGTTTGTGCAGGAAGTTGGGGCTTAAATTACGCCAGTCTCCAGGCTCTCCCCTCCCTCTTAACCCACCTGCTTATTACCTTCAAAGCTAGAGCTGGTGTTTGAGCTCAGCAAGCAGGCAGGAACTGCCTGCTGAGCCTCCCAGGATCCAGCAGTGCTGGGTTTTGCTGGGATCCCAGGATTGGCAGCTTCTCCGCTTATAGCCTGTCTGCCTCCTGCCCCGCCAGCATCCAGCCTGGGGCTTGGAAAGGGAATTCCCACCCCTCAGGCTATGGTGAGCCGGTGAAATGGGTTGTTTTCCTATTTTTTCCATCTGAGAAATGGGCACATCCCAGGGGAAACTTTTCCGGTGAATCCTGGATGTGTCTGAAGCACAGGAGCTGCGGAGCAGCAATGTGCATGAAACCACAGCTGGGTTCGGCTCGGAAGTGGCCCTACTGGCTTTTGGGGCTGCTTGAATAAAATTCAAGCAATTTTTTATATAAACTCCAATTTCCTTTGCTTTAAAATAATGCACAAAACTGCGTATTTCAGCTTGGTCAACCTAAAAGAGGCCCTTGGGGTGGTTCTAATTTTGCTCCATCGGTGGATCAAACCCATTCCTGTCCCCGGCATGGCTGCACTGCCATGCCTGATGGTGCCGGGCAGATCTGGGAGCGCAGCTGGGTCTCTGAATCCCAGTCCAACCAGTTTAAACCCTCCAGTGGAAAATTGCAGCCCTCGTCTCTGGGCTGCTCGCCAGAATGGCAGTAACTAATTTAGGAAGGAAACAAAATCCTCTCGTTGGGGTTTTTTGGTGTTACTGATACCAGCTGTGTGCCATGGGATGGCCACTGTGTGGCTCTTGGGTGCCCTGAGTCCACCCGTGCTCTGTGGCACTGGTGTCATGGGAAGAACTTGCAGTGGCCTCACTTCTCACAGAGCAAACGCAGCGGCAAAGGACGTGGCAAAACCAACTCCTACTGTGTCCTTGTCCCCAGATTGACCAGCTGCGGGCAGAGCTGCTGCAGGAACGCTCCAGCCGGCAGGACCTGGAGTGTGATAAGGTCTCGCTGGAGAGGCAGGTACGGCTGAGCTGCAGAGGGGACGGATCCAACCTCTCAGCCATGGGCACAGCTGGAGGGCAGCTGGACCACTTGTCCTGTGAGGGATGCAGGGCAAAGCATCCTGGTACAGCCCCACTCCTCGCTAGAGCACCCCTGGGAGAGGGACTGTGTTCCCAAGGAGCTTTTCCTGCTGTAGAACCCTCCCCCCTGCCTCCTCCCTGCTCTGGATACGGCCCGTCCCCATCCTCCCCAGGCACCATCCCTGGCTGCAGTATCCTTGGAGCTGTCTGGCATCTCCCTGGGGTGGCATTCCTGCAGGATCCCCCCTTTCCTTGCAGTTCTCCCCCAGCCTGCCTGGGCTTGCACTCCAAACTCTTCGTTACCTAACCTTGAGCTGGCTCTTAACGAGACAGATCAATGGGAACTAAGCTCCCCGAGCTGTTCTTGTTCCCGGTGCAGAATTGCAGCTGCCAAGAAAAACACGAGACTCCTACTGGTGACGCCGTGGGGCCCGGCCCAGCGGCAGCCACCTTTGTTACCGCTGCCCAGCTGACGAGGCTGGGGTGATGCTGCTGTGCGGGACGGGGAGAGGAGCTGGTTTTTCTGGTGCTTTTGGGGATTTTTTTGGCCAACGAGGGTGTTTAAGAGCAGAAACTGGGGAGCTGGGGGATGATGAGTGTCATGGAGCCGGCAGGGGCTCTTGCACCTAGCGGTCCCTGGCACATCCTGGTATCACCTCATGCCCTGGCTGGTGCCAGCACAGCTAATTGTCATTATATAACCCAGCTCGTTATGTCTCCTCCTTGGGAAAGGGTTTCTGGGCCCTGACTCGCAGCTGGGATTTACATAAGCAAGGCTCTGAGCCTTTCCCGCTCCAGCTGGGAACACTGCAGGGGATGACGGGGATGGCTGTGGGGTTTTCTCTCCCTGTAGAACAAGGAGCTGAAGAGCCGCCTGACCAGCTCGGAGGGGCTGCAAAAACCCAGCAGCAACATCTCGCAGCTGGAGGCGCAGGTGGAGGAGCTGCAGGACAAGCTGCAGGCAGAGGAGAGGTACTGGCCACGGAGACCCCTGCCTCAGGGGGTGCCTTCGCCCTCGCCGGGTGCCAGCCCAGCTTGCTCATGACCTATTGCCTTTCCGTAGGGAGAAGAGCATCCTGATGTCCTCCAACCGCAAGCTGGAGAGGAAGGTGAAGGAGCTGACCATACAGATCGATGATGAGCGGCAGCATGTCAGCGACCAGAAGGACCAGGTGGGTGGCGGACGGGAGCCCTCAGAGATGCCAAGCGGCTTCGGGACCCACCAAAGGGACCCTTGGGCGCTTGTCCTGCACCAGCCATCCTAATCCCATGGGAATTGCCCTGTCTTCCTGCAGCTGAGCCTGCGGGTGAAGGCCCTGAAGCGTCAAGTGGATGAGGCAGAGGAGGAGATTGAGCGGCTCGAGGGCGCCCGCAAGAAGGTTCAGCGGGAGCTGGAGGAGCAGCACGAGCTCAACGAGCAGCTGCAGAACCGCATCAAGGCGCTAGAGAAGGAGGCTTGGTAGGGGATGCTGGGCTGGAGGGGGGTCCCAGCCCCAGGCTGGAGGGGGGTCCCAGCCCCAGTGAGGGCTGACCCCTGTTCTCCATCTCCAGGCGCAAAGCTGCCCGCTCAGCAACCGATTCCTCCCTGCAAGATGACCAGCTCAGCTCAGACGAGGAGTTCGACAGCGCCTACGGGCCCTCCTCCATCGCCTCGCTGCTCAATGAGGCCAACCTCCAGACTAGCTCCTGCTGACACCTGCCCACACCACCCCGGCTGCTCCATCCCAGGGCAGAGCCATGTCCTGAGAGCCAGGAGAGGGACCAGCCGTGGATGCCGCTGCTCAATGCAAAAACTCTTCTAATACCAACGATGTGAAGGAAGGTACCGCTCAAAAAGCGGTGGGATGGGGAACCCACCCCAGATGCTGTCTTGCCTCTTCATCTTGATACGGGTCTCAGGCTGCGTTTGCACTGTGGCTTTTTGCCAGGAGGGGAGCTGCTCACCGCAGCCAGTGTCCCCATTGGTGACTGGGTCCTGCCGGTAAACCATGGCCCTGGGGTCCAAGACACGGCCCCAGGGGATCAGGCTTCCATGGAGGCAGCCAGAGAGCAGGACTGGAGTGGCTGGGGGTACCCACGGTTCCAGCCACCCTGGTTTATTTTTATATGCAACTGCCCTTCGTCCCCCCGCTGCCCTTTTTCCTCTCCAAGTGCTATTTTAAATAAAATGGAGCATTTTAAGGCCTGCAGCTCATCGTCCATCTGGGGCTGGAGGGATGGCGCAGGCTCTGGCACGTCGGGCTGTGTGGCACCAGGCTCCTGCCCGACTCAGGGAACGCAGCTCCTTCCTTGCTCCACTGGATCTGGCCTGGAGATAAATCCTTGTTATCGCTAATTAACGAGGATGGGAGTCTTGCCAAGTGCTAATTAGCACCATTGCGTTGATTGGCAGGTGGTTACCACAGTTCCCCTCCGTGGCCTCGAGCAGGGCCGAGCTGGCTCCGTCCCCAAGCTAGCGTGGGGCTGGGACAGTGCCTGTCAACCCAGCCAGCCCCATCCCTGCTGCCTCAGTTTCCCCTCCTGCGCCCTGGTAACATTTAACTGGGATGGAGCCTCCGGGGATGGACACGGTGACAATAGTAGGGACACCCTGTCCCCTCTCTGGTCAGTACTGGCCACGTCTCTGCGTCACCACCACCCAGGGCTGTGCCCGGCTCAGCGTGCCCGGCACATGGCCCTGCACCCACAGCGTCCCCGTTGTGGCTAAACCGGGCCAGCACAACCAGTTCTGCCCTCGGCTCCTCCCGGACACGCGTGTCAGAGCCGAGGTCAACCACCGTCCCCACCCTGTGCCTCGGTTTCCCCAGCGGCTGCTTGGCCTGATGAGGCGGCAGGGGCCCAGCTGCGCCTCGGTTTCTCCTGCAGGCACTGCAGCGGTTGATGGGGGGCTTGGGGACCATGGGGTGCCCAGGGGGAGGAGGGGCCGGCTCCCACAGCTGAGCATGACCAAAGTTTGCCGGTCCCCAGCTTTGGCACCAGCAGGCAGCCCGGAGGGAGCAACGTCCTCCAGCCTGCAGAAAATCCTGCTGCCTCAACCCCCCCCCAGGGCCTGGGTGTCCCCACCCTGGGGCTGGAGCATGGCCCCGGTGACTGCACGGGGCTGGAGCGTGTCCCCGGCCGGCAGGTCTGGGGCCGGTGGCCGGCTGAGCTCATCGCAAAGGTATGTGGCAATTAGCGCCCGCCCGGCAGAGAGGAGGCAGCCGGCACGCCCAGGCCACCCGGCGTGGCACAGGGACACCTGCCCCGGCAGTGGCCTGGTTCCCCGACCCCCGGCACGGGCGAGGGGCCTACGGCACCCACCGGGCTTGACCCCGGTGTGCGGCCGGTGACGCCGCAGCTCTGCGCGGGGGCACCCCCGGCACCTCCCGCCGGGCTGGGCCGGCACCCCGGGGCTAAACGTTCCCCAGGTGCGGGGGGACCATCCCTAGCACAGTTTGGGGCACCGCAGCCTGCTTTGGCGAGGCTCGGCGCGGCATCCCACCGCTCGACGCTGCTGGCCAGGCCCTGGCTTGGTTTGGCGACGGTTTGGCAGAGCTCGGGTGGAGCTCGGCAGGGCTTGTTACGGCTCGGCACGGCTTTGGTATGGCTTTGGCACGGCTCACGCTGCCTGGGCACGGCGCGGCACGCCGCGGGCGTGGTCAAACCGGACGGGCGTGGTTAAAGTAGAGAGGGCGTGGATATCGAGAGTGGGCGTGTCGGTGGGCGTGCCTCCCCGCGGGTGGGGGCGTGGCCATATAGAAGGGGCGGTGGCGCCGCGTCCTGCCAGTCGCGACGGGGCCATGAACGGGCTGAAGGGCTGGTGCGCGGTGCTGGACGTGCGGCCCCACGGCGAGAGCCCGGTGAGCCCCCCCGGGGCCCCTCTGACCCCCCCCCATGCCCGGGTCCACGGGAGCCGCCTCCTTCCTTCTCCCGGTGCTTCTGGAGGGTGGCTGCTGCCCGCGGGGGTGCCCCGTTGGGGCAGGGGTGGGGGGAGGTCCCGGGAAGCGTCGTTGGTGGAGTGGGGCTGTGCCCACCCACCACCCGGTATCGCTGCCCCAGCCTGTGCCCGGGCTCGCCCGGCAGCCGTGGGGAGGTTCGAGGGTCTGTGGGGGCCCTGCAGCCCCTCTCTGTCCCGGAGGGCTTAGGGGACCCCCAGTCGCCAGGGTCCGCGGCCATCCCGTTCCCGGGACCATCGCTGGGCTGGTCCACGGGCATTCAGGTGAACCCCGCTGGGGCAGACGAGGATGGCAGAGTGCACAGAGGGGCACCCCGCTGTCGGCGTTGGGGTCCTGCCGTCCTCTGTCCCGCTTACGGGGGACTCCTGGGAGTCCTGGCTGGCACATAGTCCCACGCAGCTGTTGAGCTGTCCCAGAATAATGTGGGTTTTGGGGGTAACGCACCCTTCGAGCGGCTCCCGGGGGCTGCGGCGGGAGCAGCCAGCAGCAAGTCTGTTTTGGCACTTTCCTCCCTCGGTTACAGCGGGGCCTTGCATTTTTCCCTTCCTTATCGTTGAGTTCTCCTCATCGCCGTCAGCAGCCAGGCCATCGTCGCAGGGATGGGCCCTGGGTGGGGCTGGCAGCACCGCAAAGCCGGCCCTGCGCCGGCGCAGTGCCCCGATTTCCCTGTGAAGGGGGCGAAGCCAGCGGCGGTACTTGGTGAATCGGCTTTTTGCTCAGGTTTGGGCAACCAGAGGGCTCCCCCAAAGGCACCGGCGGTGGCAGAAGAACCGTGCTGGTGCTTGGCCACCTTCCTCCATGCCAGCGGCTGCCCGGCTCCATGGCCTGAGCCCTGCTGGGTGACTCAGCTCTGAGTCTCCTCAGGAGAGTCCTAATTCTCCGCAGCTTTCCCGGCCTTATAAGGAGCGATTGCAGAGTTGGGCTCGTTTGGTTAATGGGTTATTACAGTGATAAGCGCCTCAGTAACACTGGCGATCTCCAAACACCAGAGCTGTTTGCTGCTGATCCTTGGCAATACCCTCTGGGTCAGGTCAGGCCTGTTCTTATTTAACAGTCGGGACAGACGGAGTGCCTCCCCCATGGTTGCAAAATGCCGGCGTCGGGATCGCCGGCTGTGGGTCCTCCGATGGTGCCGCCTCTCCTCTGCCTGGGATGAGGTTGGGATTTGCATGGTTCCCTCTTCCCCGGGAGTGGAGTCAGTACCTCTCCCTGCAGCCAAGCTTTTCCCCAGTGGGGTTTTTTTGGGCTGGATGACGCAAAATAGACCAAAAGACTTAAAATTGGCTTCTGCATCCCTAAGAGCTGGTCCCTAGTTATCCTAGCCAATACCACTCGCCCTCAATTCCAGGGGACCTGGCTCTTGCTGGGTGGTTGGACCCAAAGGGCCGCTGGGATTTTGGGAACGCCTCTTCGAAGGGCGCTGGATGGGAGCACGGCCATCCTGCCAAAAAGCCTCCAACTGCTTGTGCTTTGCTGCAGCCATCACGCAAAGCTGGCCAAGCTCTCCCGATCGCAGTTAATTCCCAAGGCTGGTAGTAAAAGCCATAAACACTGCCAGGTTGGAGTAACTCTTGGGGTGCCCGGTTGGGGTGTTAAGGAAGCATTTTCTTTACAAGGTGGGTTTTTTTCCAAGCGGGAGGCAAGTGCAAGGCACTCCATCATCTTCCCAGCACTGGCCACATTGCAAAACCCTCCTGCCTTCCCCAGAAAATAACAGAGGGGGCCTGAAACCCACTGCCCCCTCCACTCCAGAGCTGTAAACAGGAGGCAGAACAGATTTAATGCTAGCTAGGAGGTAAAGAAACAGGGTAGGGGAGTCCCCATGGCTCTGCTTTTCCTGCCCCAGCTGAATTTGGCACCTTGGAGAGGGAGGCCAGCGTGTGCTGGTTGTGATGTCCCTCTGGGTTGCTCCGGCTTTGCATCAGAGGAGCTGCTTCTCCCGGAAACAGCCCCGGCATTGGCAAGAAGCTGATGAAAACTTTGGCTGCGGGACAGTAAGAGCAAAGCCCAAAAGTAACCATGCGAGAGCATCACCAGAGACTGGCATGCCGGCGGTGCACAAGATGAGAGCCAAATTAAGTGCGTCTTATCCTCTCCTCTGTCCGCCCGGTCCCAATCAAGCACAGCTCACCACAGCTGAGGCTGCTGCAGACAAACAAGCTGGGCAGGGAGGGGTTTGCTTTAACCTGGCTGTGGCTTCCGCCTCCTGCACCTGCCTCAGCCTCCTTAAAAGCATACCTGTACCAAAAAAGCTGGTTGTCTCCCCTGGTGGTCCAGAGAGCTTTGCTCAAATGTCCATCTTGTGTCTCGCCATCCCTCTGCCTCCCCCATGCTTCCCCAGTGTGGAGGAGGATGGAGCCTTCCCCCCCTGGCGTTTGCATGGGTAGTTTCCTGGTTGTTTGACCTGAGGTTTGGTAGTGCCGGTGCTGGGTGGGAAGGCACCGGCTGCTCTTTGCTTCCTGCCACAGCTGGTTTGTGTCGGCTTGATGGTAGGCTTATCCAGGAGCAGGTTTTTTGGGGGATCTACTGGGACAGAAAGAACCCGCATGCCAACTCCAGGTAGTTTTGGCTGCGGGGCTGGAAATAGGCTGGTGCTTGTTTCTTATCGCAGCAAATCTTCCCCAGGCAAGCGATTTCTTTGGCAGCCTCACGCCCTCACCTGGACTTGACGGGACGGGGATGGCAAATGCGAGATCCCAACGCTTGTAAACAAAGCTGCGAGTAAGGACACGTGAAGGGACTGATGTGCTGCTGGCAGCTCTGCTGGGCTCGCATTGTGCCAAGGCTCCTGCCCTGCTGTTGGCAGCCTGTGCAAGAGCGGGCTGCTCCGTGCTCTGACCCTCGGCCTTTCCCTGTGTCCTGTTTGCTTTAGGCAGCACGAAGATGATGAATGATGCTTCTCATGCAGGCACTGCCATGAGCCATTTTCCCTGCTGTAAAACCCCGAGTGCTTCTTGCATCTTCCCAAAACCATGGAGCGCACTACATCCGGCTGCTCTGAAGTTTTTCTGACCGAATTTTCCAACTTCTTGGGTCTTGCCAAGGAAAACATTCCCTGGAGTAAAAGTTGCAGACAAGTATCTGGTTAAATAATCTGTGCTGCTGAGTGCTAGCAGAGCCCAAGTGAAGTTTCTGTTAGATAATTGTCTTAATGGGGGAACAAAGGGGTCTGGCCACGTGTTTGAGATCCGTAGGAGGGCTCCTCGTTTCCCAGGGTGACAGAGTTTGTGCGAGCTGCATATACAAAATATTTTGGAAACAAACAGATGGCTTGTCAAGACTTGGATAGTGAGGAGAGTGCTTGGAAGCAGGGAGGCAGAAATACCTTGATGTTGCTTTTGGAGAGCAGGAGGCTGACGTGGCTGGGGTGTGGCAAGGGGCGGGTGCCTGGTGCTGCGCGGGCACCTACCCTGGCTCCACTGTGCTGCTGCCCAAGAGCCCACTGCCGTGGCTGTCACACACCGAGCAGCTCCTGCTTTCAGGGTCGCGTTTAATAAGGACCATGAGCGACGGCTGCCTGGGTGCCGGTGAGGTCTGTCTGGGAAAGGGGGGTTGTACACGGGGGTTGTACAGTGCTGTGGGTGCACAGTGCCGGTGTTGAGCTGAGGACGGGGAGCGGGCAACTCCGTGGAGCGTTTTGGGTCTCCACGCACTGCCTTAGGGCTCTTTATGCACTCCGGGCAACTCCTCAAAAGCTTGCTGAGCTTTGCATGGTGCTGGACATAGCTGAAATGCCTCTTCAGTGGGTGTCACTGGTAGGAGTGCTTTGGGTGAGGAGTTAAGCAGTGAAGGCCTCTGTGGATGCTCATGGCCATGAGCTGGGGAGCGCTCTGCTGCTGGTCTCGCTGGCTGCTGCCAAAATGGGCTCTGCTCAGCCAGGGCTGTGCCAGTAGAGGACGGGCAGAGCCGTGAGGGCGTGTAGCTGTCGCGGTAGGGCAGGGAGAAGGATGAATCTGGCAAGGTCCCGGCACACGAGCTGGGAATGGCTGCTTTCATCCTTCTCCAGGGCTGCTACTGAATGCCATGCATCAGCTCCGCCATAGCTGGCTGCAGTGACAGATGACAGCCGTGACTCCTGGCAGAGGAGGGCATGCATGAAAATGAGCCCGGCAATCATTTCTCCTGCCCATCTGCATTACCTCAGCCTTGGCTGGGCCACGGCTCCTCCAAGCCCTGATGGGTTTGATAAATGTAGTTACCGTGCGCTCGCTATTACTCATTTTAATCCCAGCGTTACTTTGCAGGCTGCAGCTCAAACTGAGGGGGAAGGCAGCTTGTCCGCGCATCTGCAGTGATACCAACCTGGCTTTCAACTTGTACCAGAGCTGGATGTAAAAAGACTTTCAGGGAGTTATAAAACTAAAACCCGCCTCTTGTTTTAGGAGAGCGTGAAGGTGCTGCGGCTGACTCTGCCGAATGACCTCCCAGGTGACAGGCGCGAGCAAGTGAAGCAGAAGGTGGGTCTCCCCCGTGGCTCGGTTTGGAGTTGAAAATACAACTTTGTGAGTTAACTTAGGGTGGAGGGAATGGGCGTTTGGTGGAGGATCAGTCGGTTTATGCTTCGTCAGCTAGAAAACTCAACTCCTGTTCTGTTAAATGTTTTGGTGCCGTTTCCCAAGGTCGTGTTCAGTGCCACGTTCCTCTGTGAAAAGTGCATGATGCTCATTTGACTGGAGCTGGGCAAACCGTTCCAGCCAGTCTCGCCTCTCTGAAAGCCCTGCTGCTTCTGTCTCTTGCAGCCGGTGGGAAAAGCCTTCGCCATGGTGGCCAACAGATCCAGCAACAGTCACTCCCTGGCCTCTGAATGCATCAAATCCAATGATGGCGATGAGGAGATCATCAAGGTACGGTCCCTGGCTTTGTTGCAAAGCGATCTTGTTGAATAACTGGGGTTGGAAAAAAGTTTTTGTCTGAAGCTACACCAGCAAAAATCTCCCCAGTGTAGCTCTTGACTGTGCGGGCAGGACTGGTGCAGTGCTGCTGGCTGGCAGCACCAGCTCGGTGGGCTTCCCTGGCTTTGGGGGGATGCAGCAAGAACCGGGGGCAGCTGCAGTGGCTCTACAGGGTGAGGCTCACACAGGAGGAGGAGCGCTTCAAAAAACACCAGGGAAGGTTCACTGCAAAGGGGAAACCCGTGCACAATGTGTCTTGGGAAGCAGTGGGATCCAGTGTCCTGATCCCGGTGGAGCTGAGCTTGCTGCTGGCATTACTCGGCTGGCCAGAGTTGGGATGGTCTGACCTGCTGCCACCGTCTCTCCTGGACAGGTTTATCTCAAGGCACGGGCCGAGGGCAGCATTAACCACGAGGAGCACGTCAACCAGCTGAAAAGTGAAGTTCGTTACATTCAAGAGGTAGTTAACATCTGTGAGGGGCTCTGGCTTGCCTGCTGCTGCCTGAACCCATGGGGGCTTGTGGCAAGGGTCCGGGGTGCTCTGCTTCCCCCAGGAACGTCCCGCAGGGTTTCATGCGAGCGGGCGGCGATGCCTGCACCAGCTGCGGCACTCAAGCCCCAGCTGAGCCCCAACCACTCTGGCAAACTGGCAGCAGAGCTGAACTCTCCAGTTTGTTGACTTGCCTGTACAGGGCAGTAGTCTAATCAAGCGCCATAAATTAATTCAGCCTGACTAATTGCTCTGCTATATGGACTGAATTTGAAGAGAATTGCGTGATGACTTTCCCCCAAGGCTGTCCCCTGCATGCCTGGGTGCGGCACAACCAGAGCCTCTTGTTAAAAGGCAGTTTCTTTGGTATGTCTCATCTCCCAAAGTAAACTGGATGATGAGGCTCTCAGAAGATTAACCCTTTCCTCTGCTCCTGGTGGGTATGTTATTTCTGGAGAGCTGGTTGCAAGGCACAGAAGTGGTTGCATGCATGTTCTGGCCTGGGCAGCTTGGCCTTAAAAAAAAAAAAAAAAAAAGAGAGAGAGAAACAGGGAGGAGGGGGAATTTGGGTGTGCTCTCATGGGCAAGTTTCTGTGCTGGGTGCTGGCCCCAGGGAGCAGCGAGGGGCAGATCTGGTAGGGCGGCCTCCAGATCTTTTACGTCATCCTTCTGACTCCTCTGCCAAAACACGTGTTTCTCCCCCTGAAAGAAAACAGCCTGTTCCCACTGCCTCCTGCCTGCAACCCAGACCTGCCTGGCTCCCGCCTGCCCAAGGCTGCAGTGCTCCGGGGGTGTTGCTCACCCAAACCTTATCTCACAGCCACCTGGATGCTGCAGTTTTTGTTCATGATCCTTCCCACTCCTGGGGCTTCGACTTCAGCTCTTCTGATCTGAGCTTTCCCATAGCTCCCCACAGCTCGGGTAGAAACAGGAGCTGGGTTTTCAAAGGACCTCTTAGCAATAGTAGAGTGGGACTTAGACCTTGTCTGGCTGCAAAGGCTGTATGTAGCCGTGTCAGAATAGCTGAAGCAGCATAACTGTGCAGTACAACTTAATCCTGCATGTGAAAACCAGAGAATAAGCTAAACCAGTAAGTCATGGTGGCAGTACCAGTCTGTCCGCATCTAAGAGAAGTGCCCTGCACTGGATCATGGTGTAAAAAACCTGGGGATGTCTTGATCCACCTGGATCAAAGTCACGGATTGCTGTCCCCAGGTTAAGGGCTTGATTGCTGACCCGAGAGCTGCACATCGTGCTCTCGCCTTGTCCCTTGTCCTGCCGCTGCCCGGTTTCCAGCAAACTGCTTCACCTGAGTGCCTTGGGCATCTAAAATCAAGGGGTAGGGATGAAGCCACGCTGTTAATGCTTTGAGAAAGCTTTTCTTTGAAAAGCGTTGGAGCAGCGTTTGCTGTAAAAGCCTGTAAATCATTCCTCTGGCTCACTTGCTCTGACTAATTCGAGTAGCTGCAAGTCAAGACTGTACTTGTTGGCGTCCTACAGTGTGGCAAAGAGAGAGCTGGGGAACAGCAAGGGTCTTCTTGGCACTTCAAAGGTGAAGTCAATGACTAATGCATGAAAAATGAGTAGCGTCTCCAGGTTATTGCTTTTTATTTTTTTTTTCTTCCCATGATTGTGTGGGACAGCTGCCTCACAAAGATCATATCTGCCAGAGATGGTGCTGCTTGCAGGCAGGGCTGTAGTAAAACCAGAGGGTCAGGCTGGAAGAGAAGCCATCGATTGCGTATCAGCGCAGGGCATCGTAGCAGCCGCCGTGCCTTCGTTTGATTTCTGTTAGGCTGAGTGATACTGTCCATGCAGATCAAGCTAAATTGACTTGCCTTTGCCAGGCTAGAAGTTCTTTGAAGAAGCTGCGGGAAGACTTAAGTAGTAAACTTGAGAACAGACAAGGAGATAAACAGCATGCACAGGTAACGGGAGCATTTCTCGGGGATTAAATGACATTGACTTATTAAAAAGATGTCATCTTTGGGTCAGGAAAATGATAGAAGGGGCCTTAAAGATTGAGGTGCTTGTGACGAACAAAAGCCACGTTGGCACCATTTACAGGCAAAATTCGAAACCCATGCAAGCACGTAACGAGGAGTCAGTAAGCAAAATGCATTGGCTGGCCAAAGGCTCTATTGCATGTTCGTTTGCAAAAAAACCCCTCGGTCTCAAGTTGCTGTGGTGCCCCAGAGCTAGCTGTCTGCATGTGACTGTGTTCTCGTGCAAGCAGCTGTGCCAGCTGGCGTTACATCCCTGTCCGTCTGTCCTTTGCTTACGTAGGTTGTGCTAGAAAAGCAAAACGGGAGCTGGCTGTACCCGGAGATGCTCCACGCTGATTCCTGGGAGGACCAGGTATGGAGCTAAAGAGGGGGATTTCAGCACTATGGAAAGAAATACTGGTTTTAGTTTGCAGTCTTCCTCCCAGCAGGTAATTTTGCACCTGTTCAGCACATGATCAGGCGCTCCTGCGGCAAACTCTAGTCTTTTTGTCAGGGTCAGATCAGAAATGGAGTGCAGCTCTCTTAGAGCAATAAAAGTGTGCATAATAGGTTTTTAAACCTCTGCACATGAGAGCTTTTTAGCAGAAGGGATAACAGGAACCTTAAGCTGGTAAATATTTCTCCAGCTCTTCGTCTTTCTCCTGGCTGGGGCAGATGCTCTGGGCTGGTGTTTCAGGCTGGGTTGCTGTGGACTTGGTTTGCATTGTGGGGTTTTGGGTTGTCCAAGCGCAGATCAGGATGGCATCCTGCAAACAGGGCTTGGAAGCCAACCAAAGGATACTGTGCCTGTTATCTTGAGGGCTGGAAGCTGTCGCCCAAGTGTGGGAGGTGAGGACAGGAGCGCCTTTCATTTTTTTTCAAGCTGAGAAGTGATGTTACCAGGCTTTGTCACCAACAGCGCTGCCCGCATTGGGGTGGAGGGCTCCTTTGATACCTCCCAACTGCTCATCCTGTCCTGTTACTGTCTCCACAGGAGGAGGACTGCTCAAGTGAAGACGTGGAAAAGATCCGACAGACGGCAAAGAGGCTGTTCACGAAGCTGCAGGAGGTTGAAAAGCGCCACCAGTTGGAAAGGAAAACCTTTGAGGTGACTACACTGCGCACTTCTCTGCTAGGAAAGTGTGATTTTTATTTTATTTTGCTATTTTTTTCTTTTTGGAAGTCTGAGGAGCTGCATGAGCACATGAGTTTGGGCTGCCGGAAGTGTCTGGCTTCTCCTTGCAGAGCAGTGGGCTCAGTGTGTGCTGTTAAAATACACCGGGGAGTCCAGACCTGGCCAAACCCCAGCAAACTGCCTCCCTGGTTGCCCAGAGGAGTGTGAAGATATAAATGCTTTCCCAGTTAAAAGTCACATAAAATAAAAGCATCAGCCGTGTTGGAAGGTGGTCCCCCCAAACTCTGCCAAGCCTTTCTGACCGTAGCCAGGCTTGATGCAGGAGAGTGGTGTTTCATGGGGAGTGGGGACCACCAGGGTGTCCCAGCAGGTCGAGCAGAGACCAAGTCTGGGGTTCCCAGCCATGGTGCTGGGCTGCTGTGGCCATGCTGGCTGTTGTGGTCTCTCTTAGAGCTCAGCCTCTTCACCTGCAGGGCTGTTTGCTGTAGAGAGGGGCAAGCTGACTGGGAGGCACCGGACCCATCACACGGGTCTCCTCACCTGCCAAGCAGTGCTGACAAAGTTGCTGCATTCGCTTCCCTCCCTTCCTCAGCCCTGGTGATTAATGATCCTCTTCGGTTTATTTTCTAGTGACTGCTCATGTCCCGGATGGGCTGGGCCTGACCGCGTCACCCCGCAGCTCCATGCGCTGGTGGCAGCGGTGATGTCCTGGCTCGCATCCTGTCCCGCAGACCAAACTGGTCCTGGCTAGCCTGGGGGGTTCCCCGCAGCGGGACGGGGGACAGCGTTTGCTGGGGAAGTGGGTTTGAGTGGTGACTGCTTCCTCCAGTACGGGGACATCCACCTGCCCACAGCGGGGGCAAGTGCCCCGAGGATGTCTGTCCTTGAGTGTAGGAAGTTGTGTGGTTTGGTGGCATTTTGGGGTCTCTGGTCAGCTGATGCTGACTGCAGGCTCTGAGCCCAGATGGAGATCCTGGGGATGGCAGGGATGGGTGTTCCAGCAGTTGTTGATCCTGCCAGCACTGCCCAGATGTGTGCCTTGTTGTCTGAGCCTGCTCTCCAGCTGTCGTGGGGACCCACAGGGACACCCTTGTCTCCTCTCAGCTCCTGAGCTGGTGATGCAGGTGTGGGGCTGGCTGCTGAGGTCAGTTCCTTGGGCAAGTGGCCTGAGAGGAGCCTGCAAACAGCCCCAGAGCACGTGTGGCTGAGAACGAACATGTCTCTTGCATTTGAGGAGCCTTTATTGCTACAGCATTTAAGTGCTCACTCCTTTGAAGTGCTTTGAAGCCGGGGAGCTTTCTGAAGAAGCTCTTTTCTCTGAAGCATGTCGGGCTGTTTGCTGAGACGCCCGGCTGCCTTCAGCAAAATCTGCCTGCCAAGGCTCCGAGCACTGGTGCAGTTTCAGAGCAATGCTTGGGAGAGAGCTCTGGTGGCTCTGGTGTCCAGGCATGTGAGGGTCGGGGGTAAAGGTATCTCCATCTTGTTTGCAGAGGACGGTGTCACAGTACCAGGAGGAAGCGGAGCAGACAAGCTCTGCCCTGCGGAGAGCAGAGAAGAGTGTGCTGGAGAAGGAGGTGCAGGTGGATGAGCTGCAGAGACTCCTGGCAGGGATGGAGAAGGTACTGGCCCTGAAGCCTTGGTGGGGCTGATGGGATTAGTGGAGCTGCCTGGTCCCACTCTGCTAGTGGGGGGAATGGGAAAGCCTGGTGGTGATGAGTTTGGCAGTGTTCAGTGCAGACCCCGCAGAGCATCTTGGACCAGCTGCAGGGTACCCACCATACAGAGGGTTTGACTTCCCAGCCAGGTTTAACCCAAAAGCATTGGGCAAAGCCAGCTGCTGGGAATGGCTCAAAATTGACTGTTGCTGATTTAGACTTGCATTTCTCAGGTCTAGAAGACCTGGTCGGTCTGTGCAAACTCTTCCAGGTATCCTGGAAACGAGCGCACAGTCTAGACATGCCCCCATGAGAAGAACCAGGAGGCTTAGCACAAACTCCAGCCTTGATTTTTTTTTTTTTTCTTTTTCCAGCTGTGGTCTGCTCATAATAACATTAAAGTCATAAATCTAACAGTGCAGTATGAGCATGAAGTGATCTGGGACTGCCTTCCCTGGCCCGACAGCAGGGAAGGAGATGGGTTGGTGCCTTGCCTGTAACCTAGGGGTAAAGGAGCGGGACATCTGCTGTCGGTCATCTCTGCGGCTGCCCTTGTCTGTCTGTCTCTTGCATGTAAATTTAATGCTCGTGAAAACAACCCGCAGACTGAGCAGGGAGGCTGAGCTGAGCATGCCTGGCTCCCTGGGCGTTTGTAGCTCCCTGCTGTGCAGCAGAGGCCAAGGAGCATGTGTTGTGACTTGTTTCCGTGCCTGTAACTCAGCCTCTCGCTCTGCCGCAGGAACACCGGAGTTTGCTGCTGAAGATGAAAGAAGGAGAAGCAGAGCTGGCGAGGCTGAGAAGCGTGGAAGGTGACAAGCTTGCTGAACAAGACCGGTGAGGCTTGGCCTCTGGCTTGGCTGCCAACTCCAGAGCAAGCCCATGCCGCTGGGTCGGGGTGTCAGCTCGCTGGGGCATGACTGCACATTCCTGCAAAGGGTGTGCTTGCTCTCTGGCTTGCAAAACAGCACCCTACTCCTAAGAGCTGACTAATCTCCAAATACCTCCCGCAGTTTTGCTTTGCTCCGAGAGATCCGGAGCTGGGCTGCCCAGAGACCTCTAGCAGCCTTGCTGCAGGCTGGGAGCTTGGGGCAGGTCCTGGGGAGCCTCCAGAGCAGCCGATTCTCCCTCTAATGTTGAATTCGTTCTGCCCAGCTGGTATCCTTGTGCTCCAGGGGCTAATTGGCAATGGCTTGTTTCTGGAAGGCCTTGTTTGTGGCCTGACTCTTCCTGATGTTCCTGTGTCCCTCCAGTCTGTGGTTGCTAGTCTTTGTGGCTCCTGCTTGAAATGGTTTTGTCTCTGCCTCTCCTTACCTCGTCTAGTCAAAATATTTCAAGATCTGTGCGGCTGTAGAGGAGACCTGGCTGATAAAAAGCTGCTCTGGGCATAGCTGGGTGGGTGCTCCCTTTCTGGAAAGCCATCTGATGGCTCCTGGACTCTTGTCTTCTCTCCTTTTCCCAGGTCTGCTCAGCTGGAGAAGGAGGTGGCCATGCTACGGGAGAAGATACATCATCTGGATGACATGCTGAAAAGCCAGCAACGCAAAGTCCGCCAGATGATCGAGCAGGTGAGAGGAGCGGGGCTGGGGTGGGAGGACGGGTGAGGGAGAGCCTGGGAGGACTTGGAGGGGACTTAAAAAAAGGGGGGGGGGGGGGAGATATCTCTTAAGCTGCTTGGAAGCAAAGAATTGCTGGTTTGTGGGGCTAAGTCCCTTTGCAAACCAAAGGGACACAAGTTCAAAGGCAGCCCAGAGCCCTGTCCTGCAGCGGGGACTGACCCCAGGGTGACAGCCCAAAGTACTGCGGCACAAGCTGCCCTGGCCCAGGGAGGGTAATAAAAGGAGCGTAAAAGGAGTGCTGTGCACCCAGCTTGGCCTGCTGAAAGAGTTAAATCTCAAACTGTGTGAGCAGAGGCTCCTTCACCTTGGGCTTAATTCACAGACTTAATCTGAGGCTTTTTTTGATTGGTTTTTATGCAGACCTTGGAGTTAATGTTGTGGGTATTAACAGGCAGAATAAGCCCAGCCGTACATGAGAGGGATTTTCGGCCACTGTGAACTTTTCTCTTATAGCTCCAGAACTCCAAGACGGTGATTCAGGCCAAAGATGCCGTGATCCAGGAGCTCAAGGAGAAAGTCGCTTACTTGGAGGCTGAGGTGCGTCTTAACGGGGCCATTTTGGGGGGTGCGCAGGGTCTGCTCCAAGCTCAGACCCTCCCGTTGAAACCTCCCTGTGTGACTGGTTTGTGCATGCCTGTGGGTCATGGCTGGGCTCCCTCACAGCAATGAGCTTCACTCTGGGCAGAGCAGCTGGCAGCAAAGCTTTTCCCTGGCACCAACACCTGTTTCGCATAGAAAAATGTGCCCTCCACAGCCCCAAGGGCTGTGCTGGTTCCCCAAGCTGGTGTGATGGTTTCCAATGCAGCTGGGGTTGCTGGAACAGCTGTGAACTCAAGCAGAGTCCCAAATAATCCCATTAAGCACATTTCTCTGGCAGCAAAACCCTTCTTGCTTACAAAGCTGCAGCTGAATGTGTGTGTGTCAGAAATTAAAATTGCATTCCAGCCTCTAGGATTATAACAAGTGTCAAACCTCTCTCCTTTTTTTGGATAAAAACAGCCTGCTTCGGCACTTCTAGTGTTTTCTTCCCTCCTTGGTGACTTATTTTGCTAATTTCTGCATGAGGACAGTGTGTGTGAGCACAGCCTGCTGTGAACCCAGGTGGAAAATAGATCCAGCGAGAGAGATTGCATGCTGGTGGGTTTCCCTGTTGGGTGTTCGGCAGGTCTTACAAACCATCCTGGCTCTCCTTTGGCAAGCAGTCCCTATAGAATCATAGAATCATTTAGGTTGGAAAAGACCTTCAAGATCGAGTCCAACCGTCATCCATGCCCACTAAACC